CCCATCCCTGAAAATGTTCAAGGCCAGGTTGGATGGGGCTTTGAGTAACCTGGTCTAGTGGAAGGTGTCCCTGCCCATGGCAGGGGGGTTGGAACTTGATGATCTTTAAGGTCCCTTCCAACCCAAACTATTCTACAATTCTATGATTCTATGAAAGTTGATTTAACATATGTTCAAGTCACAGTTCAAAATTAATAACTTTGTTCCACTGCTTGGGAGATTTTCTTGGGAATTTGAGTGTTGTAAAATATCTCCAGTGTTTATTTTCCAGAATTAATTTAATACCTTGTAGTATTAAAGAAAAGACTGTGCTGTTGTGGATTAATACCGTGAAGCTGCAAAGAAGCTATTTCAGTATGTGACTGATAAATTTATAATAATCTGATCATCTTGATTAAAAAAAATGTGATATTGTAATTGTTAGTGTAAGCCAGAAAACCTAAACAATTTTAGAAACAAGATGACTTTTGAAATGCTTATACTTAAATGAGAACTGTGGTACTACAAATCCATTTTTAAGAACTTGCATTTAACTGTTTATAGTCATGTCCAGGGGCAATTATATCATGAGTGTACCTAACCTTACAAACTGAGAAGAGCTCTGCCACTGGAAGTTACATATGAAATGTGAAATTATTCAGTTATCTTTGTTTTAGGAGTTGGCCCGGGTAATAATGACAATACCCTGTTATCAGCTGTTGCTAGTGCTTTGCACACCAGTTCTGCACCTATCACGGGGCAGCTCTCTGCAGCTGTTGAGAAGAACCCAGCTGTCTGGCTTAATACATCTCAGCCCCTCTGCAAAGCTTTCATAGTCACTGATGATGACATTAGGTAAGTTTCATAAAGTCTTCAATAAAATGAAAAGCAAGTTCAGTTAAAGTAATTTCCTTCCTGGCTCAGTGCAGTCCTCTGGAAGAGAGGTATGAACATTTTTCTTTTACCTGTTGATTAGTTGATTAGTTCAGTAACTTAAAAAATGGATACCTGTTTTTTTTCTTTCTGGTCAAAATAGTAATATCAAATATTCACTAAGTTATGAGTCATAATCCATATTTTCTTTCCCAAGAGAGTGCCCTAAACATTAAGCTGTAGTCATGATCAGTACTGGCTTTCTTCCTTCCCATTTCTGGTTTGGTGAAGTTAATTTGTTGATCTCAGTTAAAAAGTAAGTAACTTCAACAAAAGAGAATAAGAATGTTCCCCTACAGCATATAGCTTTGTGACTAATATGCTCTCTTAAAAGTGGGAGATTGGGATATGATATGAAGAGAACAGATAGATCTGTTTACATATGGGCAAATATTTTGGTTTTCTAATAGGTGTGCAGTTAATTTTCTTTTCAAAAAAATTACTCATCCTTTATTACAGTACTAAAAGCAAGGGCTTCAGCACCGAATTTCAAGGTTAGGACTGAGTGAAGAGTGATTTCTAAAGGATTAGGGTTGTGTCTTGCTCAGAGGAAGGCTGAAAAGAGCATGTGGCCAAGGAGCTGCTTAGCAGTGAGTGATGTGGCAGGGGAGGTGAGAAGGATCAGCATAGTATGCTGCTGTGTGGGAGCTCCATTGCCAGGATGGTGCTGTGGAGCTGAAGGACTGAAGGCCGGGAGCGAAGAGTGGGCACTCGTGGGCAGCATGCTTGCTTTCCCTGGCAGCACTGCTAACCCTGCTGACTTAATGTGCTAAAGTACCTTTACCTAATACTTCTGTGATAAACTAGCATAAGAAGTCAATCAAATTGAATACAGATACACTAAGTCCTTGAGTTTTACTTCATGTTAAAGATGAGCACTTTTATTACTAGTGTTTTCTTGCTGTTGGTTCTTAGATATTTGCTCTTGGTAGTTCATGTGCTTTAAAAGTCATATTGTATAAAAAGGGCTGTGTTTTTAATACTTAAAAGCTCTTTTTGCTAGAATCATAGAATTATAGAATAGTTAGGGTTGGAAAGGACCTTAAGATCATCAAGTTCCAACCCCCCTGCCATGGGCAGGGACACCTCGCTCTGAACCATATCACCCAAGGCCTCGTCCAGCCTGGCCTTGAACTCTGCCAGGGATGGAGCATTCACAACCTCCCTAGGCAACCTATTCCAGTGCCTCAGCACCCTAACAGGAAAGAATTTCCTCCTTATATCCAATCTAAACTTCCCCTGTTTAAGTTTTAACCTGTTAACCCTTGTCCTATCACTACAGTCCCTAATGAAGACTCCATCCCCATGCTCCAATATTTTGCCAGGCACAGAGGTGAGATTGACTGGTCTGTAATTCCCTGGGTCATCCATTTTCCCCTTCTTGAAAATGGGGGTTATATTTCCCTTTTTCCAGTCATCGGGAACTTCACCTGACTGCCATGATCTATGAAATATGATGGCCAGCGGCTTAGCAACTGCATTTTCCAGCTTCTTCAGGACCCGCAGATGGATTTCATCAGGCCCCATGGACTTGTGCAAGTTCAGATTTTTAAGACGGTCTCGAACCAGTTCCTCTCCTATGGTGGGCCCAAGGTCTTCATTCTCACAGTCCTTCCAAAAGAAGACCAAACTCTTCAGGACTGGGAGTGCTGGGAGGTATTTTTTGGTTGTTGCTCCCTGGAAGATCAACTAGCTGGCTGAAAATTTGGAAATGAAGTAACTGGGGAAAGCTTTGTCTTCACATGAGTTTGGGAAGCAAGACCCAGGATTATCCTCTGGAGAAAGCCTCGTATGCTGTAAATAGGGTACCTGGGCCCTTAATAACAGAAACTAATCTGAGATATAGAAAACTGGTTGCCACTTCTGTGTATTGTGATAGTTAAATACTACAGTCATATGTCCAAGATGGTAGGAAGGGGCTTGTTACAAATCATACTAATGATAATGATTCTGAAATCTATCACAGGCTGAGGTTATGCTTCAGCATGTTTTTCAAAACTTCATCAACATAGTTAAGTACATTTAAAAGAAGATCTCAAATAAAGGGGCCTAATGAGGTGGTAAAGCTCATGGTTGGTTTGTGCCCAGCTCCTCAATATCAAGATACTTGCTGGCCTTTATGTTAGATTCCATGTCTGAACAACAGACTCACTGAAGAGCAAAGCAGGGAAGGACCTCATAGCACCAATAAAGAAAGGATGTTTCAGATTAACTTCTCATGTGTTTTCTGGCAAGTGCATTCTCTGATATACATTGGTGTTATGAAGTACTCACAGCCTGGACTGAGCCTCCTTTCTCTCCCAGCTCAGCTGTTCATGGCTTGATTTAGGTTACTGAGTGGGCAAGGTTGTCTAAATGCCCTGTGACTTTTTGGACAAAGGAAGGATTGGTGATTTCCCATATCTTTGATGGATAATGTAATGCTTCAGGGCTTTGCCAGGACATACACTTAAAATGTCCTGTGACTAGAACCATGATCAAGGAACACTTATATTTCGTTCTTGATCCATTCTTTGTAAGAGTGGGGAAGTGTCCTTATTGTGTTTTGTTTAGTTCATTGGAATTTTCTTTGCATTCTGAAGGGGAGCTTTATAAAGATATTCCAGCAGCTTTCTTCTCTCTGATTTGATCATTCATGTGCTTTTTTAAAAATGCTGTAATTAAGTGTCATCATAGCCTAAATTACCCTGAGTAAGGAAACACCAGGAATCTAGGGAAGGGATCTGCTGGTGTAAATAGCTACTGACTGTAGTTTGAAGCATGTTGTGGTGGAGTTTGTAGGCTGTGGATTGTGTAAATACCCCACTGTCTTAAAGTCAAAATTCTAAAAACAGAAAGAGGAAAAAATAAATATACTTCAACTATTTTTTCATAACCCTTGGCCAGTTCACAGTGTGTTCCAACAGTGAAATGGTAACAATGTTTTATTACTGATTTAAAAAAAAACCACAAGTATTTCATCTTATGTGTGCTCTTGGGATCATTTTCATTCCATTAACAGGTACTGAATTTGCTACTCTTTTATTTCTCCTTTGTCACAGGTTCTGCAAAAGATAAGGCATCTTTGGTTTTGTTTGGTTCTCTGCTGTGGGGTTTGAAAGACCATTCTCTAGGTATTGAAAGTTAACAGGTCTGGGACAGTAAGCTGTATACTGAAGATAAAAATCAAGGATAGAAAACAGCTGGAAGATAGAAAACATGTTCTCTACTGAACTGCTAGCTTGTTCTTTTGGGCTTTTTTTTTTCTTTCCTTCATTTTGATATCTCTGTAAGCAGACAGCCTAATAGGTAAGGCTGAATAGACAGGTAGGAGTAATTAAATAAAAAATAGAAATGGTTAGTTCCTTGAGGTTCTTCCACTGAACATGCATTGTGTAGGACTTAGAGTTGGTTCTCTGAGCACTTAGAAACCTACTCAGTGCCCCACCATCCTGTAGAGGTGCTCCTGGTGTACACACCCTTACACAAGGAAAGAGGAAGATTGCCTCAGTTCTCCTTTACAATGCTTGTTACAGGAATCTCCTGCTGTGATTTTCAGTGATCTACCCTGAAGTGTGTCTGCCAAAAAAATAAAAAGGAAAAAGAAAAAAGCCAGTCTAGTAAAGATAGCCCAGTGGGAAACTGCTCCATTAACTTTGTGTTTGGTCTTTTCAAGTATCTAATCTGAGAGTGGAAGATCATATATCACATTCAATACTTCTGTCACTGTGTGAGGGAAAGGAAACCGTGCATGCTAAACCAGAGTGGGTTTTGGCTCAGAGTGCTCTCATTTTAGTGCCTGAATATGTGCAAAGGTAACAGAACTAGTCAGTAAGGGTTTAAAGAGGTGGTCGATGCCCCAAGCATTTGGACAATGACCCTAAGGATATGCTTTAACTTTTGGTGAGCCCTGGAGGGGTCAGGTAGTTGGACTAGATAATCATTGTAGGTCACTTCCAACTAGAACTATTCTATCATATTCTGTTCTCAGTTAAAATAAGAGTTGAGAAACCAGCCCTGAGTCATTGTTGGAAGTATGCTCTCAACCTACTACTACACTTGAAGGACTGACATTTCTGCCCCTTCTTCCCTTATCTCCCTTCAGAAAACAAGAAGAGCGGGTGCAACAAGTACGTAAAAAGCTGGAGGAAGCACTAATGGCAGACATTTTGACACGAGCAGCTGATACAACAAAAGATATAGATGTAAAAATGGATAATAGAGATGAAGTATAAAAAGAAATCAGGTGAGTCGAATCTCTGAGATTTAGCTGTCTCAGCAGTCAGTTGGTGGACAGCAGTGCGTCACACACAAGCAGTCCTGCTTTCTCCCCACACACATTAGCTGACATGCCCTCTATCAGCAGAACACAAGGGTGATTTTGCAGATATAGGTGGGAACAACCTCACATTAAATGCTACACAGATCACTAGGGAGGAAAAACAAGTGATTTTAATCCTTTACAGCAAAGACCCAATCTGTAGAAACTACCGAAGGTATCTTTTCTGGCACTTAATACTTGAAAGTGGTGTAAAGCAATCAAAGTTAACTGGCCTTTTTCTGTTTTTCTGTTCTTCAAATTTAATTTAGTAAAATTACATAACAAGTTCTGAAACTTTTCTGCTTATTTTTAAATGAGCAATACCTCTGCAAATTAATTTTCCAAGGTATATTCATGTATCTGCATGAAAAGAAGCATGACCAGCAAGTCAAAAGAGGTGATCCTTGCCCCTCTACTCTGCTCTCGTGAGACCTCACTTGGAGTACTGTGTACAGTTCTGGTGGCTTCAACATAAAAAGGACATGGAAGTGTTGGAACAAGTCCAGAGGAGGGCCACGAGTATGGTCAGGGGGCTGAAGCACCTCCCATATGGAGACAGGCTGAGAAAGTTGCAGCTGTTCAGCCTGGAGAAGAGAAGGCTGAATGGAGACCTCATAGCAGCCTTCCAGTATCTGAAGGGGGTCTACAAGGATGCTGGGGAGGGACTTGTCATTAGGGACTGTAGTGATAGGACAAGGGGTAAAGGGTTCAGACTTAAACAGTGGAAGTTTAGGTTACATATAAGGAAGAAGTTCTTTCCTGTTAGGGTGGTGAGGCACTGGAATGGGTTGCCCAAAGAAGTGGTAAATGCTCCATCCCTGGCAGTGTTCAAGGCCAGGTTGGACAGAGCCTTGGGTGACATGGTTTAGTGTGAGATGTCCCTGCCCATGGCAAGGGAGTTGGAACTAGATGATCTTAAGGTCCTTTCCAACCCTAGCTATTCTATGATTCTAGGATCTTATACCTCTTTACAGTAGTGATCTGTGGATTTGCCAAACACTTTGTTAATTTTTTTCTTTTATAATCACCTGCAGAAGAATGATAATTCATTCTCTTGTTTCTATTAAGCACACAGTGCTCATTTATGAAAGTGCACAACTTTGATCTGAACTTTTCATAAAGAGCTGAAATTTTAACAACTAAGAATTGTGTTTGGAGATAGTTGTGTCATTTTAAACGAATTAATTTCTTTTTTCTTTTTTTTTTTTTTTTTGTTCTGTATTTACTAGCCACAAGGGGAAATAATGTATGTACTTCTTATTTGACAGGTACAGTGGAGATAACTTTTACACAACTATGAATACTTTTTTTCAGGTAACTTGTAGACATAGGATCGAAGTTTCCAGGCTGTGACCTGTTTATCAAGGCTGTTGAACATTTAAACCAGTATTCAACCCATAGCATAGAGGGGTAATTCCATGGCATTTTGGTTCCCTGGTATAAGAAGAATATAAGCCTGGTGCACCCAGAAGCCAGATGTTGTTTTTGCACTCAGTATCAGGACTGTGCACTAGGTTACCGCTTCCGATACAAGGGTGTGTTGCTTGAGTAAATTCTTATAAGTAGAAACAAAATGTGTTTAAAATGTACAGTCACTTTCATTACTTATACTGTCAGTGCCACATAAAGGAAAACTTGGTCTTTAAATGTGAACAAAAGCTATTTCCCAGTGTTGTTTACTGGCAACTTAACAGTCCAGAAATCTTGATGATTTCTGAGCTACTGGAATCTTTTAATTACTTTGTTACAGCTATTTACTATTAAACTCCTAATCCCTGAGTATTTCCCCTATAAAACTAATTATGGATAGCTTTAAAGGATGCTAAGAAAGAACATTAGTTTAAGATGTGAAATTTCAAATATGTGCCATTTTAGAATCAAATTGTAATTTTGATTTTTTTAAATTTTGAATAAAATAATTATTTTCTAATGGAGTCATAAATCTGTTTGTAGAAGTGGTTATTTTTGCACTGGTACTGTAGTTCTCTGCAAAAATCAGTTGGATCAGTAGAACTTGAGTTTCGTCAAGTTGTAAACTCATTACCTTTTTACATGTATGTAGCCAGTGTACATGTAGACATGCGTGTGTTGGCTGTGTTCTGTAAAACTGCTTTTTTTTTTTTCCCTAGTGGTTTTAATTATTGACTTGAACAAGATTTTTGAGTAAGTGGATTAATTAATGTAAACTATCTTGAAATATGCAAGTTTTTGTTTCCGTTATACAGACTAATGTTCCAGTATGATCTTTTTATATTAAGAAACTTTTCACATACACATTGTGCTGTACTTAAACCCCAAGAATTCAGAAAGGGATTTAAGGCTGTAATGCAGTACTGGGTGATGTGCCAGGAAGGTGTGTGGTGAAAGAGGCTGGATACATAGCAAACAAAAAACAGACTAGGGAGAACGTAGGCCCCCTCAGGAAGCTCTCAGGAGAACTAGCTACACAGGATTTGGAGAAGGCTGAGGTTCTGAATTACTTCCTCGCCTCGGTCTTCACTGGCAAAGGCTCTGACCGCACCATCCAAGTCTTGCAAGGCAGACGCAGGGACTGTGAGAAAGAAGACCTTGGGCCCACTGCAGGAGAGGAACTGGTTCAAGATCATCTTAAAAATCTGAATGTGCACAAGTCCATGGGTCCTGATGAAATCCATCCTCGGGTCCCAAAGGAGCTGGCGAATGAAGTTGCTAAGCCACTGGCCATCATATTTGAAAAATCATGTCAGTCAGGTGAAGTTCCTGACGGCTGGAAAAAGGGAAATATAACCCCCATTTTCAAGAAGGGGGAAATGGATGACCCAGGGAATTACAGACCAGTCAGTCTCACCTCTGTGCCTCGCAAAAACTTGGAGCAGATTCTCCTGGAAGGCATGCTAAGGCACATGAAAATCAACAAGGTGCTTGGTGACAGCCAGCATGGCTTCACTAAGGAGAAATGCTGCCTGACCTATTTGGTGGCCTTCTATGATGGGGCTACAGAACTGATGGACAGCGGTAGAGCAGTTGATGTCATCTACCTGGATTTGTGTAAAGCCTTCGACACTGTCCCACATGACATCCTTGTCTCTAAATTGGAGAGACATCAATTTGATGGATGACCACTCGGTGGATAAAGAACTGTCTGGATGGCCCCACACAAAGAGTTGTGGTCAGTGGCTCAATGTCCAGCTGGATACCAGTAACGAGTGGTGTCCCTCAGGGATTGGTGCTGGGACCGGAAGGAATGCCATCCAGAGGGACCTTGACAAGTTTGTGAGGTGGGCTGATGCCAACCTCATGAAGTTTAACTATGCCAAGTGCCAGGTCCTACACCTGGGTTGGAGCAATCCCAGGCACAGCTACAGGTTGGGCAGAGAAGAGATTCAGAGCAGCCCTGCAGAGAAGAGACCTCATAGCAGCCTTCCATTATCTGAAGGGGGCCTATAGGGATGCTAGGGAGGGACTCTGCATTAGGGACTGTAGTGACAGGACAAGGGGTAATGGGTTAAAACTTAAACGGGGGAAGTTTAGATTGGATATAAGGAGAAAATTCTTTCCTGTTAGGGTGATGAGGCACTGGAATGGGTTGCCCAGGGAGGTTGTGAATGCTTCATCCCTGGCAGTGTTCAAGGCCAGTCTGGACGAGGCCTTGGGTGATATGCTTTAGTGGGAGGTGTCCCTGTCCATGGCAGGGGGGTTGGAACTTGATGATCTTAAGGTCCTTTCCAACCCTAACTATTCTATGATTCTGTTATATATGCAGATTGTGCTTAATGAAAAAGTAAGTATGCACCTGCAGGGCTTTTAACAATGGAGCAGCTACTTACATTTTATTAGCTGTTTGTTACCCACTTACAAAATATTTATGGTGTGCTCTTAGTATGGGACTGAAACACAGCTAAAACTGCTCCAACTAAGTCATTCTAATTGATGCCACTGTCAGCCTTTACTTTTCCACAAGGGGTTATTTCTGTCTCTTTTACAGGTACTTTTAACTGACTTATTCCAGGAGGAACTTTGTGAAAGACAGAGGCACCTTCTCCTTCGGTCTTTCATTATAAGAATAAATGGACCCATGCACATTTTTATAGCTTTCTAATATCATTAAAACCAATGCCTTTTTTAGACTTCTATTTTTGATGTACATATCTTACTTGAAAAGCAATTTTATTTTGTGTCCTATGACTTAAAGTCCTTTTTTAAGTATCAAATGTTACCCTTAATCTAAAGCTGAACTTTTGATGCCAGGTTGCAAACTTACTGGAATTATATTGCCTGTACTAAATATTTGCTTTTCCTGTGTTTTTTAGTAACAATAGATCAGAAGAACCAAATAATTTCCTAATTCAAGATTATTGTGACTCTATATATAAACAGATTTTTATACGTATGGCTGAAAACACCTGTACATTCTTCTGTCATCACTGTAAAGATAAATAAATTATTATAATCTAGCAGTTGAAAATTTGTTGCATTGTGGATAGATTAAGCAAAGATTGTCTCTGCTCATATTTCAGTGTTTCCTTGGCTAGATACGGCATGACTTCACAGAGTTCTGCTTTGAGGTGAAGGTGAGACTATAAGGAAAGTGTCTTTGGTGCAGAATGCATCATGGGCCAAAACTTGGTCTTGTTTCTGTCTATCCAAACAAAGCAAGTAGGATGTCAGGGTGGCCTACAACACTGCAAAGATTTACATGAAGAGAGCTGGGTCTTTCACAGTTAATCAGAAAACCCAGAATTTATCAAAAAACTGAACAGGTTTGCTTAACTTCCCTGGGGGCTTAAAGACTAAATTGCCTGGCAGGTCAGAGTAGTTCCAAGTTTAGAATACCATCTTCTCCAGGTCTAGTAAGGTATTGTCCTGGATTGCAGCCCATGCTGGGGGAGCTTTGCTATAGCCTTTGGAGTCTCCTCTTTTCTGCACAAAGACGTAAAAGTGGGGACACAGGTGATCTTACTGCAGGATTTCCTGGGATACGTGTGGGCTAGGACACAATATTGTATTATATCAAACAACAATATTAATAACTGGGGACTCAAACCCCTTCCCAATGCCATTTGAACCATTTCATAGAACTTGCACCAGGGCAGTGGTGGTCTGATTGCGATAGGTCTCCCAGGCCACATTCATTATTTTTCCCAAATCACGTTGGTCCTCTCCCTTGAGCTTTTGTACCTTTTTCCTTATATCTTTCATGGATTGACCTTTTATTAAATGGCCTAATTCTCTCCTTCCTTCCTCCAATTCAGGATCAATAGTAGTATATTTATGCATCACCTCTTTTAATCTTTCCACAAATCCAGAAGGCAATTCATTTATATCTTGCCATATTTCATTGCCCACAGCTTGTCTTAAAGGTACAATCACAGTTTCCCCTCATTTTCCTCTAGTTCACAATGCTATAGGGCTAAATCCTTCAGCCCCCTCTAACATCTCCCATTCTGGTGTCTGTGCTTGTGCTTATGCTTGATTCTCATTGTCAGCACCTTCTGCCCCGGTATTCACAATACTCCTTCTCCAAGGGGCTACCTAATCCTCCTTCTTCGGATTCCTCAAATGTTTAGTGCATAACTGTCCTATGCTGCACAAAGAGTAACAACGTTTAAGCAAATTTTACTATCTTTCTCCAAGGACAATACTAACGGGTCCTGGGGTGCAAGATTAAAAACACAGTCCTTTCACCATTCCAGATGATTTCTCAAAGTGAAAAACATTTCCACATAAGCTACTTCATCCCACTTTCCTTCTCATCTCAAGAATAGCATCAATTGTAACAAAGTATTATAATTAATTGTTCTGTTCACAGGCCACTTTTCCCCAAAATCCATTTGCACAACAGCCACCACTGATTACAGTATTTTTCCAGAGTCTCCCGAGCAACTGAACCACCCAGGGATCCCCCAATTTGTTTCTAATGTTGTAAAAGGCAACCCTGCAGGGACTGTTTCAGGACTCCCCCCTTGGAGTCAGTGGTACCCATGATCCTGACCTCCACCCAGATACCAGTATCCGGACAACCAGAATCAGACTACCTTACCCACTGCACAGGGCATCCCCTGCGACTGAGGGGGTAAGGGATGAGAAAGAATACATTTTTAAAGAAATAAAACCAGGGGTCTTATGGAGGTCCTGAGTTGGTCCAGGGATATGTGGTTGCTTTCAGGGAAATTCCCCAACGCTTGCGTGAAGGTCCCAGAGACTCCCTGTGTCTGTGGGAAACACGGCAGAAGGTCCCCGTTTGGGCAACAATTTGTTGCCATAAAAGTCAGTCGAAGAAACTCTCCAAGACTCAATTTGGAATTTTAGAAAGCAGCATTCTTTATTGCAACGCTGGGCACACACGTGAATAGTTACGCAAGGGTGAGCACACCAGTTACTTGCAAGCAGCAACTATATATTTAACATACTCATGCCTACTTAGAGCTCTCCCAGGAAATAATTTATATATTAATGATATTTCCAGGAACTAATTATAATATCGGCATTCTAATTAAGCATGTGCTTTCTTGCTGAGTGGGGGTCTCTGGTGGTTTCCACTACTCTTCCTCACTGCATTTACATATTTACCTAAGTGCTTGAACATGACTGCAAGGTCCTAGTGTTGAGTTAGCAGCGCTATGTCCTTGCTTTTGTTCTGTTCCAGTCTCTGTTATCTTGAAGGTTAGCATCTTTGTTCTTACTTACTGCCTCCTTAATTGTTATCAGTCCTGTGATGTTCCTTCCCCCATCAGCCGGATATTCTTTACTCCTGGTGTCTTGGTGTGTCAGTGACAATAGGTAATGGTCCATGGTGAAACACACAAAAATGGAATAGTACTGTTTGGCACGGGTTGTGGGAAAACAAACTTGAAAATAAGGGAGTTAACACCGCTGTTAGCAAAAGGGAGTCTTGTACTGGTAAACATCTGTTCACACACTGGCCACATGTGCACTGATGTTGCAACTAGTAATTTTCCATTCCAATGCCAGGGGGGATATAAGGACCTGTGCAGGATCGGAAGGGTGAGAAGGCCAGATGAGCATCTTCATTCGGGGTCACCCTTACGAAGCAAGGCCTACCACCCCTCCAACTGGGCAACATGTTCCATCTCCTTCATTCAACCAGGGGTTGGTATGTATGTAACCTGCTTCACATTAATATTGATTCGGAGAAAACTCCAGAACTCAACAACAAAGTTTTAACTTCACAAGCAGGTATTCTTTATTGCGGCTCCGGGAGACACGGGGACTCACTCCTCCAAGCGTGTCTCTCCCAAGCATCAACCAGGCTGTGATTATATTGTCCTTAAACATACATATTCATTAGATTACATCATACTTTTTAGAGAACACCTCCTGTATGCATACAAAAATGTGATAGTGGGCTTTTGGACCCCTGGTGGTTATTTCTTCATCACTTTGTCTTAGGATCTTTGTCATATCAGTCATATCAGTAACCACCAGGTGGTTCTGGCAAAGCTTATTTTAGTAATTTTCTTTTCTCTGTAGCTGCTAACAAAGCCTAACATTCTTGAGATTACTTATTTACAACCCTATTCTTCAATCAACCCCATTCTTCAATCCACCCTAATCTTCAATCAACCCCATTCTTCTATATATATATATTTTTGTTTAGCATTAACAACTCAATAAATAGACTAGAGCATTTAATTATTTTTATTGTGTTTGGTGTCCAGTCTTTGTACATGGGAATCCTGGAACACCTGGGTTCAGCTGTAACAGTTATTTTTCTCCTTCTTACTGCTGTGTTTTTTACTTCAGTCTGAGAACAATGCGGATAACACACCAATGTTTTCAGTTGTTGCTAAGTAATGCTTGCCCCAATCAAGGACTTTTCAGTCTCATGCCCTGCCAGTGAGAAGGGGCACAAGAAGCTGGAAGGAAGCAAAGACAGGACAACTGACTGAAGTATCCAAAGGGGTATTCCATACCACAGCACATCATGCCCAGTATATAAACTGAGGGGAGTTATCTGGAAGGCCCAGACCACTGCTTAGGTCTGGCTGGGTATCGGTTGGCAGGTGGTGAGCAATTGTATTGTGTATCACTTGTGTTTATTGGGTTTTTTTCTTTTCCCCTTTTAGTTTTATATTCTTTCCCCTTGTTATTTCCTTTATCATTATTATTAGTGGTTGTCCTGGGTTCAGCAGTAGTAGTAATTTTTCTCCTATTTAGTAGCTGGTACAGTGCTGTGTTTTTGACTTTCGGCCTGGGAACAATGCTGATAACACCAATGTTTTTGGTTGTTGCTAAGTAATGTTTACTCTGACCAAGGACTTTCCTGAGTCTCATGCTCTGACAGGGAGAAGGGGAAGCCAGGAGGGAGCAGAGACTGGACACCTGACCCAAACTAGCCAAAGAGGTATTCCATACCACAGCACATATATAAACTGGGGGCAGTTACCTGGAAGGGCTAGATCACTGCTTGGGTCAGGCTGGGTATCGGTCAGCAGGTGGTGAGCGGTTGTATTCTCTCCCCTTGTTATTTCCCTTATAATCATTATTATTGGTGGTAGTAGTGATTTTGTGTTATACCTTAGTTACTGGACTGTTCTTATCTCAACCCTTGGGAGTTGTATTCTTTCGATTCTCCTCTCCATCCCTCCAGGAGCGGGGTGGAGGAAGGGGAAGGAGTGAGCGACAGCTGCATGGTTCCGGGTTGCTAGCTGGGCTTAAACCATGACAGTGGTGGTAGTAGTAGTTTTGTATTGTACCTTAGTTACCTGACTGTTCTTATCTCAAGCCATGGGATTTATATTCCTTTGATTCTCCTCCCCATTCCTCTTTGGCGGTGGGGGGAAGGTGGGGGAGTGAGTGAGTGGCTGTGTGGTTCTGAGTTACCAGCTTGGCTTAAACTACGACAACGTGTCAGCAAGTTAGAGCAGTTTGCTGTATTTTACTAAGTTAGTTTAAAGCCACACACACTATTGTTACTTTAAACCTGTAATTCAAGCCTACACAGCAACATGTTGTCTAGAATTGTGTAAGGAAGGTACCTATTTTTTCCAACAGGAGACCTGATCAACTGGCCAGCTAAGGTGTCCAGGCACCTGCAGCATCTCAGGTAGCCTGCTTGTCCCTAGGCTTCCCTAGGGGAATCTTACCTATTTCCCGCTTTGTGCCATAAAAGGTTCGAGCACCTCCCTGGACACTGCTGGAGGCTCCCGGCCCTGCAGGTGTGGGGAGCGAGCAGAGGCAGCAGAGCACGATGGATGGGGTACTTCCCGTCCATCCCGTGCAACCCCTTCCTTCCACCGGAAAAATCTTCGTTGCCGAGGCGGCAATTGGGACCAAAGCCTCTAGAGGTCGGTGCAGCCCAACCGATGCGCCCGGCCCTGTCCACATTCCGGCAGTGCGGGCCGTGCTTGTGCCATGCCTGACTGCACCTGTGCTGCAAGCAAGAGCTCGCAGCAACACCCACCCGCGATCCGAAAGAACCTTCGGAAGAAAA